TCTAGAATTTTTTGGCTTGGAGAAGGATGTGGGGAGGGCTGTGCAATGAATGGAAACGTGATAGTGAAACTGTACATTCTAAAGCTAATGACCATTTGGATGATCAAGGAAATCAAGGAATTTCATTAGCTCATAATTTTAATGTTTTTGCTTGTTTTGGGTTTTCTGCTTGGTTGCCGTGTGACCAGATTAAGTCATTATATTTTTCTATATCTCCATCATTATCCCAAAGAGGCCAATTTTTTTTTTTAAAAAAACAGTTTCTTTATTGGTCTCTTTTTCTTAGAGGTGGATACTAATTCTGTGAATGCAGAAGAGCTTTCCATTGTACTATTCCACTCTCCTGACAGTCCCTGGGCCTGGCGGGGACAGGTAGGCATAGACCCTCCAAGCTCTGTGAAAAGAATGAAACAAAGCCAAGGACCAAATGGATGCCCAGGGTGAGGTGTTCTCTCATCCAGGTATAGGATCAGGCTTAAAAAAAGTGGGTGAGAGGAAGGGGAAGGAACCCTATCTACACCTTCCTCTTAAAACTGGAATGAATCTGGGGCACCTGGGTGGCTCAGTTGGTCAAGCATCTGACTTCAGTTCAGGGCATGATCTCACAGTCTGTGGGTTCGAGTCCCGCATCGGGCTCTGTGCTGACAGCTCAGAGTCTGGAACCTGTTTTGGATTCTGCGTCTCCCTCTCTCTCTGACCCTCCCCAGCTCGGGAGGTGCAAAGACACAGCCAGTCCAGGTTGGCCTGGTCCCCACCTCTCTCAAAAATAAGTAAATGTTAAAAAAAAAAAAACTGGAGTGAATCCAACTTTTATGTCAACACAAACACACACACAATCGAAGAAGGGAGGAAGGAAGGAAGGAAGGAAGGAAGGAAGGAAGGAAGGACAGAGATTCAGAGTTTGAACTGATTCAGAGTTTAGGACTGAAGGTCCCACTAAAAGCTGGACATGAACCTGATGAAGAAATCAAAGCAGAAGACACACAATTTTGTACCTGCTCTCCCACAACCTGTCAGAAAAGAATTCCCCCACAAGTTGGGTGCCTTCGCTGTCCCGGGTGTGAGCTGCAGAGGCAGGAAAGCTTCTGGGTGGGTACACACACATGCGCACACACATGCACACACACCTGCACACACACAAACCCTCCAGGGCAGTGTAAGGAGCACAGCTCACAGACACCAAGTCTAACTGTCCCTGGATGAGCAGGAAAAAAGACGCCAAATTACTCCACATTAGAGATCCTTCCTTGGCTAATAAAGTCACAAGCAATTTCAATTTTATTTTTCATTTGTTAGCTGAAAGAAAAAAAAAAGTAGCCCTCAGCAAGTGGCTGTCTCCCAGACCTCCATGGTACCTGTTTAGCTTGGTCCTGCATTTGTAAGCAAATGTGATTGGAAATCAAACTGCTCCAAACATTTGCTTCCCAGATTTTTTTTCTTTCTCAAGTTTAAAAAATAAAGTTGTTTTCTTCTTTTCCTGAGGTTTGAACCTGAGCAGAGCTCCCTACATGACAGGACCCTGTCAAGGAGAGAAGGCTTCATAACCCAGGTGCCGAATTCAGCCCCTCATTTGGTTGCCTGAGCCATTTCAGCGTTGAAGCAGCTTTACGTAACCCTGCAGGCAGTGCTGACTCAAACCACCTGCCGTAGGTGTTCGGTTATGGCTCAGCCTCCCTGATTGCCACAGACAGCATCCTAGAACAAGCGGGTAGTACTGGATCCAGTCTCTGAAACACTATCTTTCAGATCCTTCATTGTGCAGATGAAAAGCCAGATTTTCCAAGATATTGAGGGGCTCTAATCAAGGCTGCCCAGCTATTTCGAAGCAGAACCGGGTTAAAATCATTCGGACACAGGTCTGACTGCCAGGTAATGTTCTTAACGTAATTGTGCAGAAGCATATTCTCCAATTAAGTGCAAACAGGGCTCTAAACTGAAAGCAGATGTGCTGCTGCCAGGTCAGTAAGGACTTCTAATATTGACAAAATGGAATTTAAGAGGAACACCCGATATCAGGGTTCTATTTGGCATCTTGAGGCTCCCTAGCCTCTAATCAGCACATTATTATTTCTTATGTCCACATCTCAGAAGGCTGCATTCTCCACGAAGGATGTACTGCCCTGTCCATCTTTGTGCCCCCACCCCCAACAAACTGCTTAGCACAGACTTCAAACACAGTGAACACTTAGTACACCTTTCTCGAAATAAATGAGTGCCCAACACACTTGAGCAGAGCAGGGAAGGTAAAGATGCTCTTTAAACTGAGAATGTGGGGAAAAGAAAGAATTACCTAAATTATCTGAAACAGAAAACTCAGGGAGGACAGTTGCCTACATACAGAGGATTACCAGGGAGGTGGGTTCTAGACTCATGCACGTTGTTTCTGGAGCTCATTCAGTGATTCTCCTTTCTTTACTTTTTAGGACATTTTGCTATCTTAATTGAAAGCCCTGCACACCTCTGATCAACCACTGTCCCTCCTGAGGGACTAGCACACATGCAATCCCTTTGGAAAAGCTTAATCAGCTCTAATTGAGTCACAGCATTAACCTAAATTAATTAGACTTTAAGAAAGTCAACACCCTTCAAGGTAACCTGGGCTCCAACTCTTCCCTAGCCTTCACAGGGAGAAGGCTATTGAAATTCTACCAGTGACCTTTGAATATAGCCTCTTTCTTCTCAAAGATATTCACTCCATTGGCTTTTTATTTCCATGCTAAACAGAAATCAAAACAGAACATCAGACTCCAAGAAGGATCACAGAACCTCGAGGCTGGAAACAACCTATTTCTGTTGTGCTTTGACAAAGAAGCAATGTGGTGGCCACTTAGTGGAATCCCCATCTCAGAAAGGTGTAACTGACTTCCTGGAAACCAAATGCATCCCTAACAGAAGGAAAACCAAGTGTCCTCAGCTCTAAAAGTCATTGAATCAAACACACAAAAGTACACCTTTTGATCTCCAGGTCTTGTCGCTGTAGCAGTCCAAATATACCCTAAGATTCCATCCGCTAATTTAACCACCATAAGCTCTGTCTTTAATGGCTCAGCATTAATAACTGGCAGCAAATTTTGCAAATTTATTCTTAAGGCACATTTATTTTGTGTTTGATAAATGAAAGCAGCATTAAAAAAATACCATCATATTCTTGCAAAACACCTTTAAGTAAAAAACCCCAATAAAGATGTCCTCTTGTGAAGATTCCCATACCCAGGTGATAGGTAGCACACAGGTATTTCTATCACCATTCTAGAATGAGGAAACAGCCTCAGGGACTTGAACTAAGTGAGTCAGTCATGAGGCTGAAATAGAAACCAAACTTCAAGATGACCTTGAAGTAAATCCAGCCAGAAAAGGTGTAAATTAATAGTGACACTTGTTTAGCCTAATGTGATTCTGGAAAACAAGACAAAAAATAGCCTCATAGAAACAAGCCTTCCTGCCAAATCCTAAGTATTATTGAACATATGCCATTACCTTGGCGAATTCACCACATAAGCTGGCTGTTTGGGGTATAGCCACACATCACACACGCTCTACCTGTGCTGGCTTGTTTTCCTTCCTGAGTGTAATCCACAGAACACTCAAATGACTCTTTGTCTCATGAAACTACTTGCTGCAATATATGCTTAGTTTTAGATGTCACATTTTATTTTAAAATCTGTTCAAGAGCATTTGTTAACTAGTTTATTAGGATCAGGAGCATAGTCAGAGGGAATAGTCCATTCAGCAGAGAGCAAAATCACTTCCAAAGACAGCTGAGAGACTCCATCAAGGCCACTCAATTATCTAGTAGCCGAGCTAGGTCAAAATCAAGAACACAGGTCTGACTACAAGCCAATGTGCTTAGCCTTCTCATATAAAATCATGTTCCCCAATTAAGTGGAAACAAGATTCTAAGCTAAAAGCTACCCTTCTGTACCCAGATCAAACAGGGTTTCTACTATAGGCAGGAAGGATGTAAAAGGAACCCTGAAAGTCTGGGTGAATCCTTTTCTCTGCAAAAGACCCTACTCTCTTCCTCACATCTGCTCTCCTACTCCTATGTATTTCTTGCCACTAGGATTTCTTTTTTCTTTTGTTTTTTTAAGTTTCATTTATTTATTTTGAGAGAGAGATGAAGAGAGAGCATGAGAGGAGAGGGGGAGGAGCAAAGAGAGAGAGGGAGAGAAAGAATCCCAATCAGGGGCTCGAACCCATGAACTGCACCCTGAGATCACGACCTGAGTCAAGATCATGAGTTGGAAGCTTAACCCACTAAGCCGCCCAGATGCCCCACCAGTAGGATTTCAAAGCCCGATGATTTGGACTTGCTTATAAGAAAAAAGCAAGAGCTGAAAAGTTTGGCCAGCATCAAAGTGCCCTTTCTGCACCAAAATATGCACGATTATGTCTGTATTTGCTGGTGGACAAAAGGCATGAGAAATGAGGAAAAGGGAAAACAAAAGAGGAGGAGCAGCAGAAATGTGTTCTAGGAAAAACCACACCCAGCCAGAAACTGAGGAGTGTGATACAGCCGGGGTAGTAAAACCCCAAAATAAAAGCAACAAGAAAACACAAAACTATGCCAGCTCAAGAGACTAACAAAATGCACAGAATATTCATTTGATGGATGAGTAACCCAAGGCTCTCCAGGGACTTGGACGAGGGTCATTTAATTTTATAAACAAGATCTGAAATGGAAACTAGATGGTCATTCCCACTGAGCCCATCACTCTAACTCCCTAAACTGATTCTTTCTTGCTAGAACTGCTGAAAACAGGAAAGCTTCTTGGGACCATACTTTCAACGCAGAATGCAGAAAAGAAGGCCCTCTTCCCACTACATTTAAATTGTGTTTTGTTATCCATCCACTCCCCTAAGCAGGAGGCTCTATGAGGGCAAGGGACCGGAGCTGTCTGGGGTACCCAGCACAGCACCTGGAGCATGGTGGGCATTTGGTGCCTCTTTTGCTAAACTGGTGATTTTCAGTGACACAATGAGACCTGAGCTCTACTTACACTTATGGGAGAGAAGCACGTCAAAGGAATCTGCCCACCTCGTGGCTTCTTCTGTGGATAGTCTCCTAGGAAAGAAGAAACATCTGTCTTGAATATTTCTGAAAATACCACCCCCTCCCCAATCAGGAACCATTAAGATGTGCTTAAGCAAACAAATCAGAACAATGAGGAGAGGGGGTACAGATGAAGAACTTCCCACAGTTCTGTCACCGTCAATGGGTAGGTCCATTCTTAAGTAACTGATGACAAACCTCACTATTGGAATTCAGTGTATTTAGTACATTGCCTTTCCGTCTAAAAAACCAAGCTAAGTAAGTGCATGATATAAAGATGCCAAGACAGCAATAGAAAGAAACCAGCCTTAGAGTCAGAAAAGGTAGGCTGAGCTCCTGACTCCATATTTTACTGTGACCTAAATCTCTTCACCTCTGCAATGGGAATCATGATGCCCATCCCGGAACCTCACAAGGGTCAAATGAGGTCATATCTAGGACATCATTTAACACAGTACTTGGACAGTATAGGCACTGAATCCAGATTATCTGAACCTAAACACATTTTTAGAATATATTTGAGTGTTTGTTTCCAAACTGAGAGTTCAGATTGCCAAATACGTAGAACCAGGGAGTATCCTTCATCACAGATTTATAAGAGTGGTGGATAATAAGTTTCTCTTAAAAGTAGAAAGAGGGGGTTGGTGCCTGGGTGGCCCCATTGGTTAAGCATCCGACTTCAGCTGAGGTCATGATCTTGTGGTTCGTGGGTTCAAGCCCCACTGTGCTGACAGCTCAGAGCCTGGAGCCTGCTTCGGATTCTGTGTCTCCCTTTCTCTCTGCCCCTCTCCCACTCTCATTCTGCCTGTCTCTCTCTCAAAAATAAATAAACATTTTTTTAAAAAGTAAAAAGAGGGTTCCTATTCTGAGTTAAATCATGCATTTTGAAAAGGAAAGCATACGTCCATGCACTCACGTTCAGGGATATAAAAGGAGCTGCCAAGTGGCAGGGATTTACTGTCACTCTGCTCATCTGGTCCAACTCAGTAGAAAAGAACAGGGCCTACAGCCCCGAGGTGGGCTCCCCATTGTGAGCCCCCTGGGAATGCCATGTGGCCACACTACTCACTTGAGGGCACGGTTGGGTTTGTCGGGAAGAATAGCTGTGAAATCACTACACGAGTCTGACTTGTGAGACAGGCATCCCAGGCGGGTTCTCATCCCTTTGTTCCTGAAACAACACAGGGCAGGAGGACGGGGGACTGTTGTGATCGTGGCTGTCAGCTCCAGAAAGGGCCCCTGGAACGCTGCCGCGGGAGCCTCAGCTGCCTCCCCTGCCCCTCTATCCTGCCCCAGGCGCTCCCTAAAGATTTCACATTGAACGGAAGAGGAGAAATACCTGGAAGATCAAGGGATATACTCACTCTCTAACTTGACTACTGGAATGGTAATAGGTACCTTACCCCCTAGAGGCTTAAGGCTTTTTCAAAGCTAACATTCAACTCGATAGTAAGTCAATGAAGGTCATTAGCTTGGAAGAATTTCTAAATTAGGATTCTCTGTAGGGAAAGGAAATACAGTGAAGACAAAATAACAATCCACATTTTGCTCTCCCGCTAGGAGGGCAAAGGAGCCACAGCAACAGCAGCGGATCCTGATTGCAAAGCTTCAGAAGTGGTACCCACGCGGAGAGTGGAGCGTTGCTCACAGCATACAGGGGTGCAGATCACAGAATCTCAGCACACAAATGAAGCTTTAAGGCAAATTCATTCTGACTCAGGTTCTCCCCACTCAGCCCCCAAACCTGGGCATAAATATATATATTCACAAATGGCTACGGACCAGCAAGGCCCAACACCTGCAGGTGACTACAATTAGCAGTCAAAAACCAGAACCCCTTTCTCAGTTCTTTCATGGATTTCATCAATCTCTCATATTCCTCCTTTCATTTTCACTTATCTCAGTCAGCATGTTTACAATTTTAACCTGTATGTGTTAAATTCTCATATTTTTTATTTTCCTAAGACGTTTAAAGGTTCTCTGTTATGGAGAGTCTGATGGGAAATTATGCTAATGTCTCTTTTGACTTCCAATATTAGCCCTTTTTTTACCTTTAACCAGAGATCAGCAACCTACGGCTCTGCAGGATGCCTGTTTGTGTGAATAAAATTTACTGGACAACAACAGCACCCATTCATTTATATATTGTCTACAGCTTTCAAGCAGCAGGGCAGAGTTAGATGGTTGCAACACAGACCGTATGGCCCATAAAGCTCAAAATATTTACTCTCTGGCCCTTGACAGAATAAGTTTACTGACCCTGGATCTTTAACCGTGGCAGCTCCTCACGTGGAGAGCAAAGGTAAGTGGGAAGGGTTTGGTGTAATCAAATCAGGACTTAAGAGTGAATAAAAGGACCTCTGCCACATGCACACTGGTAACAATTTGCCACAGAAATAGTCCTAGAGATGTTATTTTCCATGTGGAAAGGAAGTCCTTCCAGCCTGGCTTCCTCTTCCCCTGCCTCACGAATCCTGGGCCTGGGCAGAGACGCTAGAGGCCGTCCAATTCGATCTTTTCTTTTCACTCCACATGGGTTCTCATCCCTGTCCCAGCTTATCCAACAAATGTCTACTGGGATGGTATTATATTTGGCAAGAGTGGACATTTGTATTCCACAGCCCATCTCCGAGAGCCTTTTAAAGCTGGAACATCCAAGTTCCCAGAAATATCCCGTCCTGCAGAAAACTGGGTCTGCACGTCCTATGCTCCCACCTCTGATCTCAGCCAGGCGCGTTATGAAGCCATCGATTTTATGGCATTTGGCGTTAGCCATTCTATCTCCTGCGATGGTGAGCATGTTATGTCCACTCACTCTTATAAATCACGGGGTGCTCTGACACCAGGCCATGGAGCAACTGATTAAGGGCCCTTGAGTCACCACATTCCATGACTTCAAGTAAAGGTCTTGCTTCAGCTGCACGAAGGCCAAAACCCAACTTTCAGGGAGTACGTTCACTCCTCGGTGCCCCCAGGATCATCAATCACAGAACAGTCAGGTCAAGGCCCCCACAGAGCAATTAAGAGGACTTTTAAAAATGTCACATCCATATAAGCCATCTAACCAAGATTAGCAGGGGCCAATGTACAGGGTATACTTGTTACCAAGACAACGGTGATTCTCCCAAATAGTTTGCAAAGATCTTCCACAAGATATTCTTTGGGGCCAAATCGTTTTGATTTTCCATCTTGTGTGGCTGAGACCTGAATTATAACCCTGTTAGTTAGGTCTGAAATAATGGGAGCAGAAGTGAGAGTCAAAGGTTAAGGTCACTTAAAACAGCAAGAGCAACAACAACAACAACACAAAACCAAAAACCAAAGCTTGCCCTCATCTCTCTTCCCTGTTCCAGTACCTTATAGAGGTCTCTAAATGGTTCAATACAAGCTCATGCACAGTCCCACCCCACGAGTCCCGCCAGTCAGTAGGAGGGTTCAGCGCTAAGGCAGGTTCCGTGTGCAAGGCCACAACTTTGCAAGAAGCACCCAGGAAGGACAGCACAGTCTACACAGATGGCCTGAGGGGCTGGATGCAAGTGGACCACCCATGGGGTTAGAGGCCTGGGGCAGGCTCAGACAGCAGGGAGAAAGGGGGAAGGGGCAGGCGTGGGAAGACAGGTGAGCATCATTACCTGCGTGGCATCAGTAAAGCGGCCATGCAGGCACACGCTTACGGTTAACCCTCTGGCCGGTGTGCAGGGACGTCAGGGCGGGAGATAAGACTGCGGGGCACAGGGGTAAATCCCTCTCACGTCCTCTCACCTAAAATCAAAGAATCTGCTGTAAGAGGGGGGCCGCCCTCTCTTATCTGACTGTGCTACAAATCCTCTCGGATGGCTTTCCGCTGTCCGAAAACCTTCCCACGCACAGCCCACTCCCCACAAGTGCCTGCTTGTCCTGAGGAAGGGTGACCAACCAAGGATGAACAGGGACAAATTGTTGGGTGTTTCCCATGTCCCCATACACAGCCCGTCAACAGTGAAGTGGGGCACATGCCCCAGGGGAGGAAGGCATGGGCCTGGCAAGCCAAAAATTACCGTTCTCTTTGTGTGACTCCGGTGGGGCCCAAGTGAGCAGCCAGTCAGGGGTAGGGGTTAGGAGGTGGGGGTCAGCGCCTGTTCTAGAATCATTTGATTGGCTGCCTCTCTGACTTGCTTCCCTCCCAAGGAAGGGGTGCAAGGAGCCTTGGAGGGTGTAAGCCAAAGGAAGGGTGAAGGCTCACTGTCACGGCACAGGCTTGCTCCTTTGCAGGGATCACAGGCACAAGCTGAAGAAATGAATATGGCAGCCTCTCTGTCTTGCCCACGGGGAGGCTGCCTGACCTTCCTTAGCCTGGGCACTGGCCCGTCCCTGATCTGAAAGGCGGGGGGTGAACATCAGGAAAGGGGATACTGAGGCTAAGGGCTCACTGACTGATCATCTCTCTCTCCTGAAGGTCCCACACTCAGTGCTTCAAACCCTTTGTTCCCACAGAAATGATAGGAAGAAACACGTGAAGAGAGCAGCCTATCCATAAAGGGCTCCCCCGAGGAACCCTGACACCAAACATAGAATCCATTTTAAAAGAAACCTAATTTAGATACATAAGGCCCCTACTCAATCTACTCCGTGTAAGTTATTTTGATATGGAACATTTCAACAAATACTTTCTAAAATACCCTCTCGAATAATACCAAAATTAATAAAATTAAGAGATTGCTTTGTTAAAACTGAACTAAAAAAAAAAAAAATCAGTTAGACTGTGTGTGAAGCCCATCCCCAGGGGGCTGAGCTTAGATCACGTTCGCTGGCAGTGAGGACATCTCCTTCATCCTTGTCCTAACGGTGCCCACACCTGCCTGGCCAGAAGTGGGGAAATTGAAACTCTTCACAGCTTTAAGGTTCTCCTACAGCTGCAAGAAATCACTGTTTGGGGCAGCTACGCCTCATTTCCTCTTATGGGAAATAGCCACAGAGGACGGGAAGCCTGTGCCAGGGGCCTTCATTACTCTGGGGCTGAACCGAACCAGGGACTACTCCCCACGTACACGGCAGGCAAGGTCATCGGGGGCAGGTATTACCGGGCCTCCAGTCACTGCCGGGTCGCTCTTCCTGTTCCCACTGCTGGCTCACACTGGCTTGCCGGGACTGCCTCCATGCCTGCCTCCCTCCCCTCCAAATCCAGGACTGCCCACCGCTCCCCCTTGCACCTTCTACCATCCCTTTAGTCAGCTCAGCCTTGGATTTGATTAAATAAGAATCTGCAGGACACTCTGGCCCCGCTTCCTCATCCATGCCAGCACCTTGGGGCTCTCATTCCATTTGGCCCTTGAGTTCTGGGGGGCAGAAATTGGGGTTACCAGAGCCCAGAGAGGCCTACGGCCATGTCCCCTCTTAGGTGGACATCAGGTTACAGGTGACTCTGAGGCAGACAGGATGGGACATAATGGAAAGAGAGGGTAGTCAAGGAAAAAACAAAGGTTAAAAGCAAAGAGGAACGATTTTTACAGAGGGGAAGAGGAACGAAGAGTCTCAGCAGGGAGAAAGCAATCAATATGCATGGAGAGGCAGGTTAATTAAATATGGATAATGCAATCAGCCCACATGGGCACCTTGAAGAGGAAAGAGAAAAGCAGAAGCAATACTCACTGTCTTTGACCGGTCCTCATGGCCTGCAGGTCTTTGCCAACTGGATGGTCAGAGAGGCTGCGGGTTAGAGAGTTCTGGGGAAAGAGTAGATCTTTCTTTTAGCAGTCAAATCCTCGGTGGGTGAAGAACATGTGTGCGTGAATGCACAGGCACACTCGTGCATGCACACACACATATACACACGCATGCACGCACAACACACCTCCCACCACTTGAGCCGGGCAGCAGGCGGCCCCGCTGAAAGCTCTTCTCTCTGCTTGTCACATCCAGTAAATACTGAAGCAGCCTACACCCAGCGGGCGGCGGCTCAGCTCCCGGGCACAGTCTGCACGCCCATCCTCATTGGCAGGATGCAGGAGGTGCCCCTGAGCAGAGCTCGCCTGGCAGTCCTCCTGTACCTTCCTCTCCAGCCTCACTAACCTGCTTCCCTGCTCCTCTGGCTGCAGCTCAGGGAGAAGTCCCCACAGCCCAGAGCTGCCTCCCTCTGCACCCAGAGGCTGTGCAGGGGGCAGTGAAGCTGTAGGTATTAACTCTTTCTGTCCACCAATGAGCTGAAAATCAAGTGTCCAGGGGCCCCTTTTCTAATGAGCTCTGCTGCTGGCTGAAGGCTGGATGCTGCTCAGGGAGCAGGGAGCATAAAGATCTTGCCCCAGACAGCTGCTGACAGCAGGAGCCAAGCCGAATCAAATCTCCTAATGAGCCAGGAGGAGGGGGCTGTCTTACTGGGTGTGATGTGATGTGATAAATGCAGAGAGCAAGAAAGCTACGGGGCAGGTCACACATCTAAATTCCACCCCCTTTCTCCCAATTTCTATTGTGCTTCACTACCGAGCCAAGCCACACAGCCCTGAAATTACCCCCTCTGCCACATCTCAGCTGTCCCCCTTACTCTGCGAAGGCACTTCTCTCCCAGTCTGTCTCTACTCCCAAACCCCCCCCCCCAGCACCAAACACACCACTCCTGACTTCTTAATGAGAAATTTCCACCTCTTCTGCCTCCTCAAAACATGTATATTTCCAATTCTGCTGGCTTTTCCTACAGTGGAAATTCACCTCTCTCCCTCATCCATCACCTAGCAACTTCCCCCTACTTGCATTTGTTATGGAGTGAGACTTTTCCCTTTGTTCTGCCCAATCTGCACATTATCTCTATTTTTCTGTCTTCTGCATTTTTTTCCTTCCAAACCACCTTACCCACATGGACCTTCACACTGTCTGGTTCAGTTCCAGAAGGACTCCCTCCCTCTTCCTGCTTGCCCTAGTACAGTACTTCTCTGAGTATGGCCCCCAGACCAGCAGCCTGCATCACCTGGGAATGTGTTAGAAACGCAAATTCTCAGGCCCCACCCCCCAGACCTACAGAATCCGAAACCCAGGGGATGGAGCCCAGCCTCCCAGGTGACTGATGCATGCTAAAGTTTGCAAGCCGCTACCTTGGGACGAAGCTTACCTTCTCCCCATTCCACTCCAGTCTCTAAGGCTGAAACTAGTTCCAAATGTACCAGACCTTTGCCGCAAGTCATACTGGATAGATACCCAGAAGGCGGCATTTGCTAGAGGCAGCAGAAATCTCTATGGAAGGTGATGGCTTTATAATAAAAAATATTAGATTCCATTTGTTTAACCTTTTAGAATGCAGAAAGCACATTCATTTATTGTTTCTCAATAACGCTATTTCATAGTCAGAGTATTTTTCTTCCCAAGTTACAGATGAGAAAATTGAAGCTAGAAAAGGTAGCATGCCTTTTTCAAAGTGACACAACACATCAGGGGCAACTCAAGGACCAGACTTGTTTTCTTAGAACTCTTACAGCAGAGCTTTTCCTACTACGTCATGCCAGGACCAAATTCCTGGCAGCTCTATTGGTGTATAACCCATATTCTCGCAGTGACATGAGTCTGCCGCAAGCACACATTATCTAACGATAGGATGAAATAAAAAGCCTGATGCTGCCTCCACAGTGACTCATTGTCTCTCTCTGAAAATGTCCACAGTGTGTCTCTGTTAGGTAAAGGGAACTTCGTGTTATAAAATGAGATGCAAAAGAAATGTTTTCCATTCCTCAAAACTCCTGTCTTGAACCCTGATGATAGTTGGGGTTTAGAATTTAAGCACGGGGTGCCTGGGTGGCTCAGTCGGTTGATCATCTGACTCTTGGTTTCGGCTTAGGTCATGATCTTGAGGCATCGTGGGTTCAAGCCCCACATCACACTCCATGCTGACAGCAAGGAGCCTGCTTGGGATTCTCTCTCTCTCTCTGCTCCTCCCCTACTCTCTCTCTCTCTCACACACAAAGTAAATAAATTTTTAAAAAAGCTTTAGAATTTAAGCATACAGAGAATCCTTTGCTTCTGGGTATTTTCTTGATACATTGCAATTGTAAGAAACAGGTTCACAGACGAACCTTGAATAAAGCCCATTGAAAAGCACTTCCCTAACCCAAGATAAGTTTATTCCATAAGGTGGATCCTCCCTGGTCCCACGCATACAGCCATGTTTAACAAGCACTCAGTATATGCCAGACACTGTGCTAAACATTGCACTGCTGTTGTCTTATTTAACTTTCACAACAAACTTACAAGGCTGACATTTTTATCGTCCCCATTTTACAGATGGAGAAACAGAGACAAGTGATTTAAAAGTGACAAAGCTGGTGCCTGATACCAAACTTCCTGTTTCCAACCCTTGCTGTGCCCTTTGCTTTTAACACAAAGGTAGTATCATCATGGGACTCCTCTTCCGGTGCTAAAATAGTGAGATAAAGGTCTCCTCCAAGTCCCATGCTGCCCCGTCTGGCCTCCAGGATTTAAAGACACTGACAAGTTAGGGCAGGGCTGAAGATGGGCCCAAGTCTCAAGTGGGGGCTGACTAATATTAACTCGGCATCAGAATCTTCAGTCAGCCATTGGAGAAATGACATAGTCTTAGGAAGTCAATAAGCCAACCCAAGTGTTTAAGGAAAGACAGGATCATTAATGAAATTTAAAGGAAGAGCAGGAATATAAAGAGCACAGAGAGCGTGTGTGGAC